TACTGCGACCGCTATGTCGGCGTGTCGGCGTGTCGGCGTGTGGGGAGTGGCAGAGGTGGATTTCCCTAGCGAGCTTCGAGAATATTTGGATCTTGCGGAGCAAGCAAGCAACCAACCTGCCAGCGTCGTACAAGCGGTACATGAGGAATCGAAATCTCGGTGGACATAGCGCACTCTTTATTTTGTCGATCCTGGACAATGAATGACGTGACTTGTCATACGTGGGAGGCTTATACACTAGCTCACTCACGATTTGAAGACGATCAAGACGATCAAAACGATAGAGGCTCAGTATATGTTTACATCTAACGTTCTGCGACACTGTGTTGCTTTGTGCCCCTCCATCGCTACTGATTGAGTTCAATGTCATCTGAAGTCTTCAAACCTTGAAGGGCCGGCCCTGTACTGGCACTCCATGCAAAGTTTCCAACCTCCTCCAAGGAAAATAGGAAATAGGAAATGATGCACCCAACCGATTCAGGTACAGATTCCCAAATAGTGTAATGAGAGTGGATCAGCAGGAGAAAAAGAGATATCTTGATAGATCTACGACAGCAGATACTGGAAGTGGTCACGACATAGGTCGCTCCATACATACATAGTAGTTCAAAAGCCCATGTCTTGAACATGCCCTGCTTTCTGCGGGCACAGTAACACAAAAGATTGCTAATACCGTACGGATTGTTTAGGAGTCGCGGGACCAGCGGAGTTCGCTCATTTCAAGCGCCCAAAAGGAGCGCAGGAACCAACTCTCGCTAGCGATCAACGCCATCCTCTACTCGTTTTAGCTGGTAACTAAGAATTATGCAGACGCAACTGTATGAAAATGGTATGGAAATAGGAAATAGCACGGACAACTCATAACAAGACACCTTAAATACAAAGCCTCACTTCAATAACCGAGGTACCCGCACCGTTGCCGAAGTTGTAGCTATGCGATAATATAACATGGCAAGCTGGCAAGCTGGCAAGTTGGTCTGTACTATGTTCTAGAATACAATGGACAGCTGCTTCTCGAAAAGGGTATTACCTTTCTATGTATCGCGATGATGTCCTCCCATATTCATAAACCGGTGTCCACATGGTCAACAGCAGGTCCACTACGATATGATCATCGATCTGACGATCTATTAGGAGCAGAGGCCAGTATGATCCAATCGTTATTACAAATCGGTTAGATGCAAAAGACTCCAGCATAAACGGGTCGATTTCTGTTTTCATCATCCGTGGAGAGACCCCCTTTTTCCCCACGTCCAAGTAGGTGTTAATGGAGCGAGCCCCTATATTTTTTACGAGCAAGATCTACTAAATAGTACATGCCAATTCGTATATCGTATACACTAGTTGTCGGTCTATTCTAATCGTTAGCTTGTGAGTTGATTACATCATACAACTCAGATATATCGTCTCCCAGTTTAATCCCAGTTTAAAAAAGGAAGCATATTCGATTACTTACCTTAGCTCGATCCCTATATGTAAGTAAGGATACAATACAATCCTACAACATCAAACATGCAAATGTTATATATTCACGTCAGTGGTTGAAGATATAGATATTCCTTGCCTCAAAGAGAAGGTATCACTTTCGAAACGGCAGTTCGACATTCTGGATGTATCAAGTGTAACCCAAAGCTGTGTCTTAGAAGTGAACTTAGCAGCCAGTAAGATGCCACCCAGCGTTCCAGCAGGGAAGGTCTATCTGTAACTTTAAGCTTGGCGGCATGCGACAAAGATGGTGCCAAGTTAATGCTTTCAGAATTGCCATTTTTCATCCTACCCATCCAGATGATGAATGGACAAACACTCACAAATGATTAAATTACTAACAATAACCACAATCCATATTGTAGGACTAGTCTTTGTTCTAATTTATTACATACGGGAAAATAGGAACTAATTCTACCCCCGCATATCCATGGCCTAGGTAAAGCAGTACTTCCCAGACAACTCTAATAGAACGGCTGTCCTAATCCCAAGAATATGGAAACCGGTCTTCCCAGCAAAGACCCCTATGTCTACATTGGGGAATCTGACATGTCTAACTCTCTACTAATAAGCTCTAATAAAGGTACTCCATGATCATTCTGAATAAATCCAAGTCATATCATGGTGTCTAATAGCTCATTTTCTTTCCATATTTTCGCTACAGGTATCACAGTCTTCTAGCGGCGGTAACAGGACAACGTCTACAATCCAGGGAGCTAGGAACTTTCATAGAATCTAGAATGCCAAGGGTCGTAACAATCTTACACAGGAACTTCCATGACCTGCTTGTAGCCCCATTGGTCGCTTATAGTTTTACAGCAAGCACATATATTTAAGACCCCATCATCGTCACGATCACTATTTCAATCCTTCAATCGGCAAACAATGCATGTTAAGACAGGGGGTCCACGCTTAATCGAATCTCGACCCAGACCGCAAGTTGCCTCTCTAGCTCCCGAGTCATGTGAAAGGCATCATGTTTGTGGCTCTGTGTTGACACTCCTTTGCGAGCCGCAAATAAGGCCATCCACGACGCTTCGCGAACAACTCGGCTATTCGATCTAGACCCTCACCACGAATGTCCCGCGCCAAGGTTCGGGATCATGGATTCTCGGGAGTTCTGCGTAGTGGACTAGCTTGTGCAACTGGGCCAGGGGGAAAACCCGATCTGGGAGTCGAGACCTTTCGAATCACCACGACGTATTCCAGCCACTCGGAGATCAAAAAATGGGATTTTTGCTAGTAAAGTGTCACGGCTCGACGCCGGTGGCCCGGTCACGAAGAATCCTGTCGCTCTACGGGCCTCTGCGTTCTGTAGGTATTCTTGGGGCACGACATAGAGGAGCACTACATATCTTATCCGAATCCGACGTTGCCCCAGGCTCTTCAATCTAACTACGTGAGAGGACTGTAACAATATCTGGCCTTTTCGCTAGTTTCGCGTTTCGTCTTGGATGGGTGTGCTTCCGTTTCGTTTCGTTTCATTTCATTCACGCATGCGATAGCAACGCCCATCAAGATCGCACCGCAGACAAGCCTCTGCTTTTTGTTCTCGAGGTTCGCCCCGAGCGTCGGGCCCGCGTAGTAGACGCACCGATGTATTCCAGGATCAGGGAGTCGGGTAGGGGCATGAAGAATGGTGTCGCCTGCCGCGCGTGCATTAAAGGAATGTTAGCACCCGTTACTGACGGCCCAAAACTGCGCTATGTCGGAGATAAATTTGCGGCAGCCATACGTCCCTACTGGTAGGGGTGACTATGGCTTCTAGTACCAGGACACGGGGAACCGGGCCTCGGAGTGTGAGAAAAGACGCCGTGGTGTCATATTCCGGCAGACCTCGATCCACGGGCAACCTTTTACATTGGAAAGGACCATTAGTCAATCTATAAGCACTTTATCGGCCGCAGTTAGGCACGGAGCGTTATTTTGAGGGGTATGTCGTTGGGCATTCACTACACTCTAGATTCACCAGGAAGCTGATAATCCCTTGGCCCTGCCTCATAGTAGAGGTACAACGAGAAGTATTGATGAAATATCTACACAGGTACCTAATGCATCAGGATTGTTCAGGGATATGTACGAACCCACCCAGATCGCAGGTATCATGCAGGTTGGAAGTAAAGAAGCAAGTACAAGCCGAGGCTTGGGGATAATTAAGTTGGAATTGAGAGCAGCTACCCGCCGCTACGGTCTGTCGCCTCCAAGTACCGACCGTGCGTCACATAAAATGGCTGGTATCCAGGGTCTAAGTAGTAGGCACCCGACGATACCGACTTTTAGAAGCATGCCGCCGAGCCTCATTTCAAGATAGATACATACCTGAGATATATTACCGACGGGAAATAGCCTAGAAAGAAATTTAACCCTAAAATATGGATATCGTAAGGAAGATTCTAGGAGCTGTGGCCTTCCGGTCCCGAGTATGAATTCCCCTAGGTCATGCCGCATTGGGGTGTACTTGGTGTATGTAGTCATCGACAATATGATGACCACGATACTCTTGTAGAGATATGTCATGAGAAACCTTTCAAATAAACAATTTACTCTATAGCCCTCATTATAGTACTAGGTAGTATGTCTATAGGTAATTATAGTCTTTAGTATAGAAATCAAGTAGTCAAAGTCTGGAAGAGAGACTGATATAATGTATACCATTTATGGCGACCATTTTTAAAGCTATCAATGACGCATGTTTCACCCGTTCCCCCAATAAGACATGTTTAGTGCTGCGGCTCATGGCATAATACTTAGAGATCAGCCCATCTCATGGCTTGATGAATTCCCCTGAGATCTTACTTTCAGGTACGATCGAGTCTATATTCAGATCCTCTTACCGTAGGAAGTACACGAACTCTTTATATGCGCAACAGCATAGCGGTGTAATTCTTATTGGAACCTAAGTGAATGATGTAATCTGACTGAAGAGACGATGTGACGTCTAGTCCTTAATTACAACGCCCTTGCTTGGAGGTTGAATACTAAATGGAAAATTTTGGCGATAAACACGAATCATCACTGCCGATATCCGAGAAATTGCAAGGCAACATACTATCTACTTCTTTACGCCTGTGCCTTTTTAGCGCCAAACAGACCTACTTGACTCCCTAGAGGATAATTGTTGAATAGACCATTGCATTCTTCACCAATAGGACGGGTGCGTTTCCCTACGTGCTCAACTAGCCGGCTATGACGGCACCCAGGTCCGCTGACCGGGGGTATTTGCAATCGAGGTCCCCGTGAAGATGCATCACTAGGTCGATATATGATTGGGAAAGGGGATAATGGTATTAGGTGCGCTTGACCAGCTTTTATTCGTATCTCATTTCTCATTCTAATTATATCATTACATGAAGCAAGTAGTGGTCTAAATATGATCCCATCCCGCGTGAACTATCTGAGTGCGCCGCTTTCAATTAAATCCCAATCATGCAGTCGTAGAGTAGAAACTGTATCAAACAGAACTGCAGTTATCGACAAGATTATCTCAGGGCCGACCTCGATCTGGAAGAGGTAGACTAATGCTTCTTGAAAATGTTGGACCAACCGCCAAAGAGGTACTGGTCGGTGTGTCGCCCACAATGAGTGTAGAGATTTACCGTCGGCGCGTGGTGCTTCGGGTGATGAGACTTGTGATTCGACTCATGACTGCCCAATAATTTGCGACGCTCATCAGACTGACTGTCCCTGGGAGTGTCCTGCGGGGAGTTAGAATTAGGGTTGGAGGCGGCAGCGCGTAATTGCGAGTAACAAGTAACTCTACTGACCTTGTCTTTTTCTGAATAGTAAGAACCAATGCTGTCCTGACGACGATACGTAGATTCGCCAGAGTCCCTGGCTGAAGATCCACTTTGAGACATCTCGAATTGAGGCTGGTGTGAACAAGTAAGTGGTCGAGGTTGGGGAATTGGTATTCTGAGCTGTACACAAAGTAACTCGTAATTCCACCAGACACGAGCTTATCGGGACGAGGTTCTTCGGATGTCGTAGGGAGTCGGGTCTGAATTAAGTTGTATATAGGTAGGTATGTAATTATGTGGTAAGCTTCAAGCTTCAGTAAGGCTGCCGACTTAACAGCTGTGTTAAGGACAATATGTAAAACGAATGCCCCCCAGGGTAGCTAGTCTCGCACGCCTGGTGCAGTTATTTATATGATGACCGTAGAAGAAGCCCGGCTATTCGGAACGGATTTGGGTCTCGAGAATCAGAGACAAAACCTCGCTGCCTGGGGTTGGCCTTATATACATGTATTCTTGACAGGGGAGCTTGGCGGCTCAAGTCAAGGATCACTTGGCCCAACATATCGTCGTAGGGAAGGATGCTGGTTAGCGTGTGTACGAGAAGCACGGGCAGATAGAGCAAAAAGACAGGGTCCTCGGCTAGACGGCCTTCTGTAAGGCCAATTGAAGAATGAGCTATCTATCCTCGTGGCCAATGGGTCTGCGGCTCTAATGCGGGCAAGGCAGGGAAATGAGCAACAGACGGTGTATGACTGAGGCCAGAAGCACCGCTATTACTCACCCCGCAAGTGATCTTCCGTTGCAGGTGGGACAAGCCCAGTCAGCCCTATTAAAATCGGCGGTGCCGTGACACGCAGCCAAGACATCATGTATGTATGTATGTAGGTAGGTATGTATATTGATCAGGTCGGTATCGAAACCTGGTTAGTGGTTTAACGTTGGGATTTATCTGTACGTTCCCACGTTTGCTGCCTGAACGAAATGCCATGTTCGAATGAGTTGCCCTGTATTGACCGAACTGATAATGTTTTGTTCGCCTGAATTCGCCTGAAACGACACGAGCGCGGGGTATTCCGAAGAGTCGAGTGGTCGAAGACTTGGCTTGCCGAGAGACAAGATATTGAGTAATCGGGGGGCACCAATAGCGTTTGTAGGAGCTGAAGCTATTCTGGTGAGCAGGTGAATGAAAATAGGTTGCGATGAACGCAATATGCTCCTTTATTCGAAATGGTGGAAGCATATAATTATGTGATTGGTAACTTGACCCATCAGAAATACCTTCTCATGACTAGATCAGGGCAGATGAGCTACATAGATAATTTGCCGGTCCGCATTGTGGATAAATGACTTAATGTGCTCGATTCCTTCGACGTTCGCGAACCACTTGACGCCTAGGAATACTAAAGAAATCCCCATACGAATAGAGTGTGGGGAAGCGGGAATGGTCTATCCAATAGAATCATCTTCTATTAACTAGATACTATGAGGTAGTTATGTATTTATGTAGATGATTCTTACCTGAGATGACTTACATATATCGGACTGATACTTGTATGCTGTACCTGAAGGGAATATAAATACGTATAGGTATTTCCCGCGAGGTGATGAATGGTTATAATCTTGAGTGATATATCTTCTGATTCAATTTGTGTAAGTAGTTCAAAGTTGAATAGCTTAGTACCTATATTGTTGTGATGCTATGTTGGGTCTCTGTACTGTCTTGAAGTTATGTGATACTGTGAGATAGCACTGTAATATAGATACTGAAATGATTATTACCTAATGCTGCTTGTTGTGGATGCCTGGATGCCTCAGGCAGCACAAAAATATTGGGCCCGCCACGTACACATGTACCTAGCAAGCCGTACCCACGCAACCACGTCCCTGGCCCCTTTCCAACGGCTCATAGGGCTGACCTTGAGTTTTGAGCCGCATGGTAGCGCCGTTGATATGATGCAAATCTGGGGATGGACCTTGGAGATATTTAAAGTCGAAGTTGATCAACTTATAATTCACATTTGATTTTACGTAAACCTGTTACAGGCTGCAGATGGGTTGAAAATTAGTCAATTGAATACTATAAATGTAGGCGATCCGATAAAAGGTCACGGAGAATGCGTTTTAGCATCATGGCTAGAGGATATCCGGAATCTCGAAGATGTCGAGTTTCGATGTTGAGAAATTGGAGTGAAGATGGATGGATTGTCGGAGTTGTCAGGGTTGGAGTTGTTATGGTAATTTTTGGTATGACACGCCAGATAATTCTTGGCAGATGAATCTTGATTGGACAGAAGTTGCTGCACTGTGGGACAATCATGTTTTGCAGTGGACCGTGCATAGCACCCGCCTTGTTGCAGGGGGGCGTAGAAACGCGCGACGAGTGACTACCTAAACCTTACTAAACCCCCGAAGCTCCTTCATCCTTTCAGCTTTTGCGCTTTTCACGCAACGCCTCGTCTTTTTTCACTACAAATTCCCATCCCACACTTTGCCGCGTCTCGGATACGTAAATTCACCTCGTCTTACATCCGTCAATGTCTGACGCGACTCTGTTTCTCTTTCACGTTACCCCATAGATCATCTTTTTGCATAATACCATTCGAGACACCCGTCGTCCAATTATTCTTTAGATAGTTATTGATTTCAATCGGCGTGAAGAGACCTCTAGATAATCCATCCTGAACGGTCCTCCAATCTCGACTCTATGTCCTGCCCTTCCGAATCTATCGCGTTGCCGTGACTTTCCATCGAATCCGCGTCTCAACTTGAGCTTATTTGTCCGTTCCGTGTCGATCCTCTTGTCTGATAGGGCGGAATAGGATAAACTTAGATACGCTATTGGAACACCGACGGAGACAATCTATACCACTCAGGCAACCTCTCCTAGACGAGTTGGTTGACCGTGTTACCATATGCCTTGATCCGAATATCTGGGATCTGTTGCTGTCTTGGGCTTTAGGCGCATTCCGACGTGAATGGTGGTGATGGTCTTCTGGACGTTATATTCATCTTAACCCTTGAGTTGCTACCAGGTACGTTCGCTCGGCGATGGGGAGAGTTTTTGAAGCATCCGCGTCTGCTTCAAGTCTAACCTTGTAAAAGCTGACAACAACGCAAGCTTTTAGCTCTGCCTATCACCTCCGAGACAACCTCGAGGTATGTTTGCTCTGTCACTTATTCGCTTGTTCTAATTGTATTAGGGTATATGCTAATCCCCTCGAACTATAGCTTAGGCCTCCCACTGCCTTCTTCTCGCTTTTTTGTGTGTTGCTCCCGGTTGAGGCCGCAACAACGTGTATCCGCTTGTTTTGATACTTCAAGTAAGTGCTAGCACTCCTTGCTCCCGCCACATCACATCATCAACTTCACCAGCTGTGCACTAACCTTGTGTTTTGGCACGCGGGTCCCTGCCCGACTTACTTTTTATATCTTCCCCTTCTTACCCTTCCCCACTTTCTCTTAATAAACTTGCAAACCCCATGGCAACTTTGAGCATATATTTCTAACTCTTTCATCTTTGCAGTCTTCGCCTGCTGCTCGAAGACACAATCTTCAAAATGGCTGGCAAACGAAAGCGGGACATCCTCGACTTTGACCCTAACAAGTCTGATTCCGACGACGAGAACTTCGAGCCCGAGGTCGACCGGCCCCGCTCGCGCAAGAAAACTCGCCCGCCCGGAGCCACCAAGTCTAGTACTCGTAGTAGGAGAATTAAATATCGGGGGTCTGATATTGATGATGACGAGCTCGGAGATAGCGAGCAAGAGAACTCATTTGGCGAAGACGACATAGAAGAGGAGCCCGAACCTCCCATCAACGAAAATACCGGTCGCCGCGTTCGAAAAGCAGCTACCAAACACCAGAATTATAAGGAGAGTTCGGATGAGGACGATTTAATTCGGGATTCGGACGAAGAGAAGGACGATCTTATCAAGGAACCACCTAAGAAATCCCCCCGGCAGAGGAAATTGATTACTCTCAAAGTTCCCCCGCAGTCGCAGTCGCGCAAAACGCGCGCAGCCTCCAACGCGACTGCTCCAATTGGCATTAGAAGAGTCACTCGAGCGCGCACAGCCGAAGCAGAAGACGAGCTGGTCGAGCTATCAAATTCGGGTAGACATGCGAGGCTAGCCCGAGGTTCTAAGAGCAAGAGCCCGGAAGCCCTAGGCATCGTTGGCCGACCAACTCGTAGCGGAAAAGGTATCAAAATGACGATTCCCACTGTAATTGAAGAGGATACCCAGGAAGAGAGCAAACCGTCTGAAGCCGAAGCTGAAGTTATGCAAGACCCTATCGTCCAAGATGTCGATCCAGCCGAGGAAGATGCCATCGGTCAAGTAGATGATGAAGTGATCGAAAATACCGTTCTAGATCAAGAAGAGCCTATAAAAACGGTGGAGAAAAATGACGCTATGGAGGTGGATGACGAAGATGACGATGTCCCCGTCGCACGTAAGACGCGCAGCGCGAGGGCTAACCAAACTGCGGCAGCCACCGAAGACGCTCCTGCTGATGATGGCAGTCCGGTTAAGAGAATCCGCGGCCGACTCACACGAAAATCTCGGTTCGGAAAGTCCCTCCAAGAGCCTAGCAGTGATTTTGAACCCGGAAATGAGTCCGCAGAAGAGAACGAATCTGGTCCCGAAGCTCATAAGGGTGGAGATGTCGGTGATGACGACGATAATTCAAGTCCCAGTGCCCGTGGTCGAAGATCATCGAGGGGCAAGGGAAGAAGATCTGTGAGAAGATCGCAGCGGCGTGCCGAGTCCGGAGACGAAGACGAGGTTGACGAAAACGAAGTAGCAGAAGAACTCAGAGATCTTCGACAAGATTCTCGTTCGCGCAGAGAACGCCGCTCGCCACAAATCCTCTTTGAGAAGAAAGCCGAGACCAGACGCCGTAGAGGCCAGCCGGTAAATTATGCAATTGCGCCGCTCAATGCATTCACTGTTGAGCAGGAAGAAGATGACGACGACCCGGCTCCGACACCAGCCCGTCGACGTGGACGTGCAAACGGAGGCGGCGGTTGGGACCATAGTCTCCACACGACTGCTGGCGCTTTAGGCGGCGTCGGTCTTGTCGGCTCGCTGCTCGGCGGACCGTGGGGTACTGGTGCCGCGGGTGGTGCGGATTCTGATAGCAGCGACGATGAGATGAATAACCGAACAGGAATAGCTGGAATGGTGGGTATGACGCCAACCTCGGCGGCTCCTCCTGGCCCGTCGCTCGCAAATGCGGAGGGAGGTGGTCTCCTTACGCCCGCGCCAAATGTCGGTAAAATTAAGAACCCGAAGGCTCTTGCTGATGCGGACCCCCTCGGTGTGGACATGAACGTTGACTTCAGTCACGTCGGTGGCTTGCAGAGTCACATCGATCAGTTGAAAGAGATGGTACAACTGCCGCTACTATACCCAGAGTTGTTCACTAGATTCCACGTTACGCCGCCGAGAGGAGTGTTATTCCACGGTCCACCGGGAACAGGAAAGACTTTGCTGGCTCGAGCCCTCGCAAATACGGCTGGCATCGGCGGCAGGAAGATCACCTTCTATATGCGCAAGGGTGCTGATGCCCTTAGCAAATGGGTCGGAGAGGCCGAGAAACAGCTGCGTCTCCTATTCGAAGAAGCTAGAAGAACGCAACCTAGCATTATCTTCTTTGACGAGATTGATGGACTCGCCCCCGTACGGTCAAGTAAGCAGGAGCAGATTCATGCGTCGATAGTATCTACCTTACTCGCTTTGATGGATGGCATGGACGGTCGCGGCCAGGTGATAGTCATTGGCGCTACCAACCGACCGGATAGCGTGGATCCTGCCCTCCGCCGACCGGGTCGCTTTGATCGAGAGTTCTACTTCCCTCTACCCGACGTGGACGGTCGCAAGTCGATCATCGATATCCACACCAAGGATTGGGGCCTTACCGACGAGTTCAAGCTGTCTCTGGCTAAGGACACGAAGGGTTACGGCGGTGCTGACCTGCGTGCTATGTGCACCGAGGCTGCTCTCAATGCAATCCAGCGAACGTACCCGCAGATTTATATGTCCAAGGAGAAGCTTGTCGTCAACCCGGAGAAGATCAACATACACATGACCGACTTTATGCTCTCTAAAAACAAGATTGTGCCTTCTTCAGAGAGATCCGCGATATCCGGGGCCGCGCCCTTCCCGAAACCTATCGAGCCTCTCCTTCGAGACCAGTTTAATACTATTACCAATCTTTTGGATGGTGTCTTTCCGCGCAAGAAGAAAGTGACAGCCCTAGACGAGGCCATGTTCGAGCCTTACGACGATGAAGACTTTGGTTTCAGTCGAGAGGCCCTGCAACAGGAGTTCCATAGATTTCGCGTTTACCGACCGCGGCTTTTAATATGCGGCTCGCAGGGAATGGGACAGGTTTATGTCAGTGCTGCTATCCTCCACTACCTCGAAGGTGTCCACGTTCAAAACTTCGACATAGCAAATATACTTGGTGATCCCCTGGTAAGTGGTGAAAGGCATCTTTAAATAGCTTCTCTTGGGCTGGCAGCTAACTTGTATATAGCCTGCCGAGCAAGTTTTGTTCGGGCTTTTCGCCGAGGCCAGACGCCAGAAACCGAGCGTCATCTTTATCCCGCATGTTGACATGTGGTATGAGACATTAGCTGGACCGGCGCTCACCGCGTTCATGTCCATGCTCAGGACCATACAGCCTACGGATTCCATCATGGTCGTAGGTACCGCAGAGAAGGAGCTAGAACAGATCAGTCCCGATCTCAAACGCGATCTCTTTGGATGGTCTAATTCCAACTTTGTGGAGATTGCCCGCCCAGCGAAGGTGAGTCTAACCTATATGTAGAATGGACAGCGCGAGGCTAACAGAACATAGGAGAATCGACGTGAATACTTCGATAGGATCCTGGGGCATATTCGAAGACTCCCTAAAGACTTTCCCGAACCGACTAATCGAAAAAAGAGAGTGCTGGAAGTGCTTCCCGTCGCCCCGCCGCCCCCGCCTAAGCAGATGACTCAGGAAGAGATCGATGCCGAAAATCTGCTTTACAGAAAAGCTCTCAACTTGTTGAAGATCCATCTGCAGCCTATCATGGACCAGATCAAGCGCAAATATAAGGTCTTCCGGTCCCCTATCATACCCCTATCGCAGTATCAATACCTCTTCGACGAGGCAAATCCGAACTATGTCAGACCCGACGTGGCAGATGCCCCGCCGCGTCCCTATGTACTTTCTCAGGATGCGGAGGGAGCCCCGGGTCTCCTCGAGACAGCGACGGGCAAGTTTTATTATAATCTCGACACGGTGACAATCGAGACGAGGCTCGCTCACGGTTACTATGTTAACCCATGGGTATTCTTAAAGGACGTAAAGTCTTTTGAGCGTGACGCAAAGAACCTCGGCGACAAGGCCCTCTGGCTTAAGGCTGACGAACTTGCTACTAACGTGAGCGTGGACGTCTCCGATATTAACGATAAACTCCAGAAGATCGATTGGGATGCAGAGTGGAAGAGAGAGCAATTTCGGAAGAGGGAGTCGAAGCGAATACAGAGAGCCCGCAAGAGAGAAGCGCTTGCCAACCAAACCGGTGGAAAATTCTTGCAGGGCCCTCAACAGGTAGAGTTGCAAAAGTCCCATACGACAACAGCCCATTTCCAAGTTATCGGCGAGGAAGCTATCACGAATGGAGGGAGCTCGCTAAATCATGACAATACGAACGGAACATCCGCACCGTCCCGAGTTTTGGACGACGATGCTACCATGACTGATATTGATAGCCAGCCGCCGCCCGGTGGCCTAAACATGCCCATGCAGCCACCCTCTCAGTGGCCCCGCATGTCTGTTCAATCCCTGCACACATCCATACAAGCGACGGCAGGAGGTACGAACCAGTTCTCCCAGATCTCAGCTGTTCAGTCTCTTCCTCCGGGTGTATCGCCGTCAGCGTTAATTAACGACGCGTCCACCACGAAGACATCAGATCCTTCCAACCGATCATCCAACTTCAGCACACAGGCTACTAATGGGATCCATCACGAGCAATCTAGCCCTGGTGACAACCTTCCGGATACCCAACCGTGTCCCGGAAATAGCCAGGCCACGTCCAGCGACGAGCAGTGGCCTCACTCTCAGGCTCACGGCCTCTTGCGGGGATATATCCCCCAGCCCGGGTCGTTCCACGGGTCGCGCGCACAGGCATCGCCTGCAGGTGGAAAATCATCACATGCCCCGAGTATGGTAAACTTACTAAACGACCCTCCCGTTGACGAACCGTCGCAATCGCAATCGCAATCGCAGTCGCAATCGCAGCGCCAGTCGGGCATATCGTCAGCTTCTCAACAGGTCGAGCTAGACGATTCTCAGGCCTATTACTTCTTGGAGAGACTCACCGAACGCACATCGGGTTGCACCATCGAGCAGCTGCAGCAGATCTACCGCGAGATGATGGTAGAGCTCTGGAGGACGAGAGGCGAGAATAACCGCATGAAAGTACTCAACTCGGTCACCCGAGTTTTTAACGAGGCTATTAATGAGATCGAGTCGAGTCAGGGGATGCTCCAACCAAGCCAATAGTTGATAGGATCAACGATAAGGGGTTATGAATTTCGTGGATATATCTGAAAGAGGTTGGCCAACCTCCCTATGTAATTATAAAAAGACTACTAGAGGCGAGGAGCCTAAAGGAACCGCGTGGTAAGGTGGCGGAATATTGCATTGTCTGTAAGGCGATCCGGACGCAGGAAACGTTTATGGCTTACTGCTTATGAAGGCTTTGGCTCGCGCCTGATTTTTTTTATAATACGCCTAGTTCACGCCTTAGGTAGGACTGACACATTTGGTGTACCGAAAATACGATCGTCTTTTAATCAAGTTGATGATATTTTACAACGTAGCTGTCTTGTCGGTTACCTTCCGGCGCTACATTAAACAGGTATCTAAGGTACCTCCTAGCCTATGAGGTAAACGTAGTACTTATCCTAACACAAGCCACGCGTAGCATAAAACTTAGGGCATAGCGGTTCTAAAAACGCCACTCATTAATGAACCTTAGTGCTCTAGCCTGCTCCTTTAGTTTGAATTTAAACACTTCTCACATCTGATTCATATACAGGATGATTTGTAGCCCCAACATCTTGACGACAAGACGATCACTTAACAAGAATAAATATGTACTCTATTGATGTTCTTCCAATGTATATACACTTGGTCAATCCATATACATAACTCATACACCACCACCCGCCAGTCTTGCTCACGACTGCAAAACCGTGCCTGGCTCTGGTAGCGTCAAGTTCAAAAGGTACGCGTTAGCCGCGGCCGCCGTCGCGCCACCTGACAGGTAACTCGTGTGGCCAGTGCCGTTGCGCGTAAGCAGCACAGAGCGGTCGCTCCCGATCTCCGCGTGCAGACCTAGTCCCCAAGCATAGCTTGTCGAGGGATCGAATGTGGACTGTAGCATCAGGATCTTCACGTCGCCTTTGTATGATACGGGCTTCGGCGGGTTCGTCAAGGCAGCCGGCCACCCGATGCACGAGGTCTGGATCTTGTAGCTCTGGCATAGGACCCCGGTTAGGGGATTGAAGGTCGCGCCTAGAGTTGCTTTGGCCTGCACGTCGCTGAGAGAGGACGAGGCGTGTGTCCAGTCTTGGCAGGCGATTGCCGTGCCGGCGAGTAATGAAGAGTCCTCGTATGCGTCGCCTGTTACGAGGGGCTGCTGCTGCGAGATTAGTGTTGCGTTGTCGGCGTCGGCGTCGGCGATGGCTTGGCCTAGGGAAGGCCATAATGCCGGCGAGATCAGATATGGTTGGATGTTGAACCGTATATCTTCCTCCGTCACGTTGGAGCGGCAGACCTTGTCGTCACAGCCAGGGGCTGGGATGGGAGATTTAGTCGCCTTGGCTATTATGCTTTCGAACTTAGCCCGGACATCTTGGCCGCTTAGCGCGCACACATCCTTCGACGCATCGGCGCACCAAGTGAAGAAATTTTTGAGTGTGGCCTCGTACGTGGAGCCCTCGATGAGAAGGTTGCTAGCCTCCGATTGAGAGTGCTGAAGGTTGCCGTCGAGTACTAAGGCGCGGATACCGTCGGGGAATAACTCAGCATACTGACTGAACAACTGCGTGCCGTACGATAGGCCTAGGAAATTAGCCTTCTCGCCGCCCAGGGCCTTGCGCACGGCCTCGTGGTCCCGGACAGCACTTATAGTGTCGACGAAATCGATCAAGCGGCCCGTCTTGGCACGACAACTCTCGCCTAGGTCCTTGTTATACGCGACGAGCGCGTCATACTCGTCCTGCGTCTTGGGGGCCCAAGTAATGCGCTTATTGTACGCAGCTGTGTCACATTGCACCGGAGTGCTGAGGCCGACTCCTCGAGGGTCCAGACCGATCACGTCGAAGCGGTCGAGAATCTGCGGGTCTACGACGCCTGGCACCGTGGAGAGTGTCGCGACAAGGCTGGTGGCCTGCCCCCCTGGGCCGCCCGGGTTGATGAATAGGTTTCCGATCCGATTGCTCTTGTCGCGAGCCTCGATGCGGACCAGGCCTAGCTCTATTGTCTCATTGCCCTGCGGGTGCTCCCAGTCTAACGGCACGGTGTAGGTCGCGCATGTGATGTTAGGGGGAAACGAATCTGGACATGGACCCCACGAGATGCTATCCGTAGAATTGGATTTCACGCTTCTCTTGGGAATTAGCTTCGACCCGGTTAGTTTTAGTGAAGGTGCTCCTGGAATAGTCACAGTGAGCGCCGAGCTCAAAGTCGCAAACACGAGGAACGCCTGCGTAAGTACAAGTGAGTGCCCCATGGTGATGTCTTTTCGTCTTGGATGGTCAGTGCAAGTGCAAAGCAAGAGACCTCATGCGAGAAGAGCAGGCTCGCTTGTATATGTATACCTCTCCCGTCTTACACGAGCGACGTTAATTACTGTCTAGGTAATTAGGTCCTACAGAGAGGCTTAGGACAAGCAAGCTAGAGCAGCCCAAGACACAAGGCGCGGCGTCCTGGCCAAGCTTTGTCCAGCTGCGACGTTTCCTTGTCGATCCTTACCGGGGACGAGGGCTATGAGCCGACCGCATGCAGCGATTGGGCAACGTTGTAATCGATAACATCTCAGACAGAAGCAGAGGATGTTGCCAAGTTGCTATGCTACGGTGTAATTTTATAAACCCTGCCACGTCTTCAACACTAACGACACAGCCGCAATTCATCGCGGTACATCTATTCATTCTTTCGCTTCTCCAAACTTCCGATACTCACCTTTGAGAAGTTACAATATCGCCCATAGAAGGGACGTTTTAGACCTGATGTGTACCATCCAGTCTCCGGATTCCTTAACAAAGACAGGGCGTTGCGAAACTTATATATATAAGTTAGTCAAGTAGCGCTCATCATAGATCGGAAATATAAAATCTCGAGTTAAGAGGCTCCAACGACAGCTTATCAATAACCAAAGTTGAAGTATTATCCTATAGCACATTGAAAGACTACCTCCTAACCTATGCCAAGACGGAAAATGAAAATCCCTTTACCCTCCTAGACATCGCTGGCCATCATGTCAGCAGCATGCGGCTGACTGCCGACTGTCTCGGTGCTAGGATTTAACGTCTTCTAAGTCGGGGTGCTGTGTTTATCAGATGTTTTGATCCCATCTATCATATTTTGGAATTAAAGGAGAGCACTTCGGGGATAAACTCTCTAGCTCCATGCAAATTCCGGATCTTGCATTTTATCAGTTCCAACCGCCAGAATGTCTATCCACTAGGTACGCAGTGGCGGTTAATATCTCGAATTTTTATATCTGAAAATACTCTGGGTACATGAGAGCTTGGTGAGTAATTGGATATCTAGCATGGATGAGATTGGTGGTAATAGATGAAGAGCGAGTCTTCTCCCTGAGGCTATTATGTAGTTACCCAAGATATATTTGTCAAACAGCTACAGTCAATAAATATCTATCCAGAATTCCCATGAACTTGTTCTCCCAGATAATAAAACTGAACACTGCGAATTTGTCTTTACGTTCTTACGAAACAACATGGCCACCCAGATCCGCGATACGCAGTTCGGTCACCTCGTACGCTTTCTGTCTAGAAATAAAGTCTTCCGATACCCTGATGAAGTTGACCCTTCCCTATGGAAAAGACCTCTACAAGGCGATACAGGCCCAGCACCTATATCGCCGGCAGAACAAGCCAACGATACACAGGGGTTTGACAAGCAGAGTCCCAGCACAGCTCAAGTCGGTGAAAACGACCGAGAATTTAATCTAATAGATTGGTATGGACCTGGTGATCCAGAGGTATCTGCTCCTAGCTTTAATTATCGAGGGGGAGAAAACAAGAGTTCAAGCTAACACTCGGTCCAGAACCCTCAAAATTGGTCTGGCAACTGGAAGCTACTGGTCGCTTTCCTCATGTGCATTCTCAACTTCTCATTCTACATCGCAAGCTCAATATACGTCCCTGGTATACCTAACATCATGGAAGACTTCGGCGTTAGCGAGATAGTGGCTACACTAGGACTCTCCCTATTCACGCTGTGAGAACTGCCAACATCCCCGCCTCAACCTCACCCCTAAAGAGAACAGCACTAACTCGTACTATTACTGTTAGTGGCTACGGGCTAGGTCCCATGCTCTGGTCTCCCATGTCCGAAATCCCCCAACTTGGCCGCAGCCCCTTTTATTTCTGGACATTCCTCGCCTTCATCCTGCTCCAGCTCCCCACGGGCTTCGCCGTCAACATGCCCATGTTTCTCGTCTTCCGCGTCCTGACCGGGTTTGTCGGCAGTCCGCCTCTAGCAACCGGCGGTGCTACTATTATAGATATGTACGACCCGGCCAGCGCCGGATACGGGATTTGCATATTATCGTCGTTCGGGGTCCTCGGTCCCGTCTTCGGCCCGATAATCGGGGGGTTTGCCGCGCCGGCGGAGGGCTGGCGGTGGACGATTTGGATATTCACGTGGTTGTGCGCGCTGGTGGTGGTCCTGCTGTTCTTCTTGCTCCCTGAGACTAGCGCTGCGAATATCTTGTATAGGAGGGCGAAGAGGCTGAGAAAGATAACTGGTGATTCCAGATTCAGGAGCCAGTCTGAGATCGATGCTGCTCGTCACACGTTGAAGGACCATCTGGTTGTTCTAGGCAGGGCTTTCACGCTGACTTTCTCTGAGCCCATTGTTTTCTTCATGGATTTATACTCGGCACTTCTCTACGGGATTCTCTTCCTTTGGTTCGAGTCGTTTCCTCTAGTGTTTGGAGAGATCTACGGGTTTAGCACTGGTGCGCAAGGGTTAGCTTTCCTTGGGATCTTCATCGGCGCTTTTGTCACCGTGCTTATCATACGGACAATAATACCAAAAGATTATTAGTTAAAAAAGATAATTAATAAGAAATATAAGATAATTATTTTAGGATTTATTAAATAAAGAATATTATAAAACCATGTAATTATATATAAGTAAAGTTAATATATTAATAAAAATTTGGTTAAATTAAAAAATATATATTTTAAATTATTTATAAATAAATTAAGATTTTTTTTTAAAAAAAAAAGGAAAATTAAAGATTTTAAAACTTTAAAAAATTATTAATAATTTTAATTATATTTTAAGCTTTTTATAGTTTTTATTATAAATAATTTTTTATTATTTTAAAAAAATTTAATATTTTAAAATAATATATGTATTTTAAATTATTATTTATTTTATTTTATATTAAAACTTTAAATTAAAGTTTAATAAAATTTAAAAGAAACCTTTTATTATTTTTTTTTATTAATAATTTTTTTTTTATTTTAATTATTTTTTTTTTATTATTATTATTTATTAAAAAAAAAACCGAATTAAGGTATTTTTTTATATTAAATTTTATACTTTTAAAAATTATTTCTTTTTTTATTTAATTAAAAAAAAATTTATAAAAAAATTTAAAGATTTTATATTTTATAAATATATAATTAAACCAATTTTTAATTAAAACTTTTTTAAAAAATATTTTTAAAGTAAATATTGGAAATATTTTTCAATTTAATTTAATATTTTAAAATTATTTTCGATTTAAATTAATAATATAAATTTAATATATTTTAATAATAATTATATTTTTGTTTTATATAAATTATAAAATTATAAAATAATTATATAAAATGTATTTAAAATTAATATTATTAATTTTATTATTATTAATTTATTTAATTAATTAATTTAATTATATAAATAAATAGAAAAAATTTATAAATTTTTTCGATTTTTTGTATATTTAATAAATAAAGATTATAAAAATAATTAAAATTAGTTTAATTAGTAATATTAAGTTTTATAAATAATATATAATATTATAATATAAATATATTAAATTAATATAATAGTTTTAATTAAATAAATTATTTAATTTAAATAATAAATTAAA